TTCCAATCTTCAAAACTTTAGGAAATGCATTTAATGCGTAATATCTCTGTTTTCTGGTGGAATTGATGTTATATATCCGTTATTCCTTTAATTTTTGAATTCATAAATAAAATTTCTTTTATATTTGATATCACTGCACCGCCTTTGCAAACGAATTCGAAACGGTCATTTTTCAATACTATCTCCAAATCTCCATATTTCAACCTTTGCGTTTGTTCTGCCATCTTTGAATTATATGCATATATGGCGTATGTAATGGTCTGAGGGACCTGGATGCTTTGCGCCTTAAGTTGTTGTGGTTGCTGTTGTTTAATCATTTATTATGATTTAAAAATAAATATTTAATCCGTTATCTCATCAGCTATTTTTTCTATTTGAAATTGCCATAATATTTCATTCATGAATTCTAAATCACAATCAAATAGGTCAGTTATTCTAAATTTAATATTTGATAAATCTTTTGAATGAAGAATAAATGAATTCCCAGATAATTGAAACGGATATGATAAAGAAAATGTGTTTAAGTTGATGGATAAAATGTTTTGTATTGATGGGTAAGAGTTAGGGTCTAATGTTTGATGTGAAAATCTCATTGGGGTATTAACTTTATCACATTTGATTAAAATGAAATTGGAACCAGTGTCAGAATACAAAACATCCCCAAAATCTTTTTCAAAATTTAATATCCCCAACAATGAACGAAGATGAGGAGTACAAAATTTAATTTTCAGCGGGAATTTAATAAGGTTATTTATTTCATCAAGTTCAAAAAGTTTATCGGGTTTTGATTTAAAATTTTCTTCATACCATACGATAAATGATTCATTTAAATAACTTAAAATCATGTTAATATCCCATTTCGCTATCACATTATTTATATACATATCATACGTTTTTTCAAGGTCATCTTTAATAAATGATATATAATCTGAAGGGTCTAAAAGAATGGGATTAAATTTACCACTCACAGAAACGAGAGTAACATTATAAATTCCGCTAACTGTTAAATTTAATTCACACTATTATTCGAAATAATATTGATAATTGACATTTTTATTACGATTAAAAATATGGTAAAGCGTTATTTTCCAGTGATAAATAAAACTAGAATAAGATTACCTCAAGAATTCATAAATTCAACGAATAAGAAATTCATTCATGTTATAAATTTTAGTGTTTTCAGAAAATATGAGTCAATGTCATATTCATCAACAGGTTATATTTCACTTCATTCAAATTTAGTTCAATCAAACCCATATAATGACCATTTCATAAGATTTTCAGATGGTATTAAAAATGTAATTGATAGATTAAAATATGAACAGATTGACAATATCGAATTTTTGGAATTTTGGTTTAAATATCCCGATGGAAAAAAGATTGAAGTTAAAGATAAAGCTGATACTATAACAAAAACAATTACAATGACCGATCCGGATAGTGGGGAACAAAAAGAAATAAAACAAACGATAGAAACTGGTGAAAGGTCAATTATTATTGATTATGATTCAAAGGATTATTATTCGATAATGTTAATGCTTGAATATTAAATAGCCTTAACAAAGAATTTTTCAAGTGATATTTTATATTCATCAACTATTTTATTATAAATATCATTATATGTTAAATGAAGTTCAGTTGTTGTTCCGTTCTTTGATATCTTAATTGTGCTAATATCCTTTATAGGATTTATTTTTGCAACTGTTCCGCAGCATGAAACCTCATCATCTATGAAAAATTGAATCTTAACGTCTGAATCTTGAACATCACAAAGAATGGCGATAATGTGAATTAATGATTCATAAGGTAAAATAATTAAACCGGATTGATCAATTAAATTTATTATTGAATCATAATTATTATTATTATTATATCACGGTAAATTTTCATTAATTCAGAATTAATGTCTATTTTATATGGGTTCTCGATGTTTGATGAAAGAGGTGGGGGTATGTTGGATAAGTGGGAATTTCAACAGGTTCTTTACCGGGTTCAGATAAAATGATTGGGTCTCCATTCTCATGGTTTTCTTCATTCTCCTCATTTTCGGTAAGTCACGAGTTAATAAATTTGGTTGAGTTGCTGACCTTGTTAATTCGGGCTAACATTAACTTTAACATTTTGAATAATTCGTGATTTATCATCATTTACGTTATAACCAACCGTAATCTCTGCTTTTGCGTTAGTGTTCTTTTGACTAGTGAAACGTCTTCTCATTTATATTCGAATAAAAAAAATATATTTAAACTTTTATTTTGCTGGAACTTTTGAATCTATTATTCCCTGTATTTGTTCATGAAGTTGATTTTTAGCTGTTTCATCGAAATTAATAGACCGAATATATTCATTAATTGCATTCTTATAATCATCTGATTTCTCAAATTTTCTTTTATCTGATTCCTTAACTAAATCATAAGTTAAACCTCGTTGCTGATATAATGGTTTCTTAATTAAATCTTTGAATGCTTGAGATAAAGCACCTGATGCAATTCTTGCTACTATAATTGGTTGGAATTGCTGTTTAAGTTCATCTTTAACATTTGCGAAAACTGGATCGAATAAAGCAACTTTAAAGAATTTCTTAGCTGAAATTTCAGGTCTAATATTTGCATATTGACCATCAAACTGGTTAGAATATCGTGGTAATCCATCCGGTCCCTCTTCAACAGCATTTAATTCTTCATTGAAATAAGAATATGGATTATGACGGTATGAATTAATTGGACCATTTTCACCTTCTCCAATGTATTGTTTAACAGCTTTTCCATTTTCATCAAATTGCATAGGATAACGTTCATTATATGCTTTACGTTTAGGATAATCAGATATAGTTAATTTATAACCATTTATGACTTTAATATTACCTTGACCATCAGTAACGAAAACTTCATTTATACCATCAGGTTTTCCATTTGGACCCGTAATGTCTGCTTCGTGTGCTTCCCAATTTGGACCTTGACGTTTGGCATATGCTTGAGCTTCTGGTAATGTTAAAACGTTTCTCATTTGTTTAACATCTTTTTGAAGACCAGCAACAATATGAACTAATTCTTTCATTCCATCAGGAACTTTCATAGTTCTATTATATGCACCCTTTTTGTTTGTCCCTTGTTTTAATGGAACCTGTAGAAGATTTACCATTTCTGTCATGTTTAATTATAAATAAAAAATAAAAATTAATTATAAAAAGTTAATCAAATTTAACACTTCCTTTATTTAAATCAACTATTATTTTTCCATGTTCACCTAATTGCTGATATTGTGTGTAAAGTTCATTAATGCTCATTGGTAAATTCACTTGATAAAGCATAACGTTCAACTGTTGACGACTAAACCCACTGAAAATGAAAAGTGTTGATAGATTTGATTTAATGTTTGTGCTTAATGCTTTGAAATATTGAACAGCCATAAAGAATGAACACTGAATGTGTCGACATTGAGTTAATAACTGATTAAAATATGATTTCTCATTTGTTATTAGTTTTGATTTCACTGCATCATCTAGAAAAATGAGTGAATGCAAAAATTCTCTATCAAAATTTGAAATAGAAAGTGTTTCAAATAATTCACCCGTTGTTTATCAATAATTTTATCCTCTAATCCTTGCTTCTTGATTGTATTATATAATTCTTTATACATTAAAAAGTTTTTTAAATAATCTTCTGCTTCTTCTTGTGATAAATAAATAATTGGAATTTTGATTAAATGCTTTAAAGATTCAAATGTATCATCTGAAGGTGAACCTGAACGGTTGATATAAATTAACACATGTGAATAGGGGGAAGTGTTAGCAATAATGATAATTTGTTTTAATATCGTTAATGTTTTACCTTTATTTTGTTTACCAATTGCTGCAGTGATTGAATTTAAGTAACATTCAGAATATGGAATTTTCATTAATTTTTCCTTAGATAGAGCATTTCTATTATCACTCAATGCTTCATTAATCATATCATCTACGTATGTATTATATACTCCTGCTAATTCTTCATAAGGGTGGATGAATTTAAATCCATTTAATCAAAAATAAATTTATAATTTTAAACATTTCTATTCATCAATATTTCATCATATGAACTTCTATACTGTGGTGGTGTACCTGTTGGATGATATTTCAAACCTTCATCCGGTGTCCATGTCCAATATGTAGTCCTAGTAAACCAAACCTGAGGAGGATTTGTCACCTTTGAACAGTAAGTGTCATTTTCACCCTGAATGATTGGATAAGCTTTCACTTGTACTGTAACTTGTGAGTTGAAAGTTTCTAATCCATCAAAGAATATACCCGCTCCATCACGTTGAACTGGAATAGTGCATAAGAATGAAGTTTGGTCTTTCCATGTTCTAGCTAATGGCGTGCCATCATCATCATTCAGTGGTCTAGTTAATGAGTCCTCGTATTCTTCTGTGCATTCATTCACTCCATCTAAATCAGAAGCTTGAAGCATACGTGTAAAGAATATGTCCCACTGTGGTCATCGCTTGATCGGGGAAGTTTCTGGAATCTATAGTGACCTGAAGACCTCGAAGCATTGGATTTTCTAAAACGTTCTTTGCATTGCATTCTTCGGAAATGTTAACACAACATCTGTAACATTATGAAGAGCGTATGAGAAATCTGAGCTAATACCTTCAGGAGTGATGCAACCTCCATTTAGTGAACGAACGTCAATATGTTGAGCTGGAATCATGAATGGATCTTCCTTACTGAATAAACGTGGTATTGCTTTAACTGATTCTTCAATTAAACCGTATCCTGGTGTAATGCATTTATCCTCTAAAACTTCCATCTTGTGCATGAAATAATAACGTCATCAACTGTTGCGCAGCAGATGTAGCGGCTAAGCTTGTAATTAATTTGGCAGGAAGTCCGATTTGTTGGAATTTGCGATCATATTTATAAACATGATTCATAATCTTTTCATAATTTTCATCAGTTATCTTTTCATAAACGTAATTTTGTAAATCAGCAACTCTTAACGGGTCAACCTGACAAAATACTAAAGTATCCCTGAAAACATAATATTTAAGAATGATATCACCAAATGATTTAGGATAATCATCGAACGCCTGAAATGCTAACAAATCATTTACCGGAATAATCATATCAAAAGTGACATCAACTTCTTCATTTGCTTTCTTGAAAACTTCTGAAGGGTCAATATATTTACCACATACTGAGTTATCATATTTTTGAACATTATTATATAACGAATGAACAAACTTTTTAACTTTCCTTTCTGATTTTGGTTTATATGTTGCAAATGCGAAAGATTCACGGGCGCAATCCATCTGAAGATAACCGGCATCACCTCTTTCGGTTTCTACTTCTAATTGTTTAAAGCTTTGATTTGATGATTTGTAACCAACGAATAAACGCATGCATTTAAAAGCGGCATCACATGTGAAAGCTTTATTTGAAACTAGAGTTGCTTTAACTTTGCGTTTAATATATGTGTCACCTAATTGGTTCACATCATGAGCCGGATTTGTAATTCTTAAATGAGTTTGTTTATCATCAAAATATGGAGCATCAGAGTCATAGCATGAACTTTCAAGTTCTCTATAATATCTTCTACCGTCATTCTTTGCGAATATTTCATTTATCTTTTCGAATGAATGAAACACATTTCCATTAATCGGTTTAGTGTTTGGCACTAAATAGTTAGTCGTCATTTATTATTAAATAAAAATCAAAATTAAAAGATGAAAATGAATTTTTAATTTTAATGAAATAATCAACTATGGCTGCAGGTATATTTAAGAAATTTGGGATAAAGTAAAAAGAGGAGCGAGTAAAGTTTGGGAAACATTGAAGAAGGGCAAATTGGATATTTAAGAATAAAGAAGCAATTAGTGACGTTGCTGAATCAATAACACCAAAAGCCGCCCCAATAGAGAAATATTAAATAAAGGAGGAAAAAGTTTATCAAAGACTTCAACCGATACTAAGATAAAAATAATATTTATTTATTTTTCCACTATCTACCTCCTATTTTATTAAGTATTCCTTCAGCAATTCCACCAATTGCGTTACCTGCTTGTGCTCCCATCGCCGGATTACTGCTTTAGTACCTATACTCCACCTATGATAGTTCCTGCCGTTTTCGCTACTGGTGCCAAAAAGTTTGCAACGGGTTTAATAATATTTTTATGAACCCAAACCCGCAGCTTTCTTTAATTCCATCCCATAATTTTTTAAAGAATCCTGCCGCCATTTTGATTTAATATTAATTAAAAAATATATTTCATCACTTATATTCTAATTTTTATTTAATGATAAATGAAACCGATTTTAAAAATAATGAAACAGAGAAGGAAGAAATAAATGAAAGTGAAAATGTTCAAAAAAAATAACGTTGTTAAACCCAATTACTGAAATAAAAATTTTTTCATCTGTTGAAGAATTTAATGACTATTATGCTAATAATAAAAAAATTATTTGAAGAATTGACAACATGTAAATTGAATAAAATGTTAAAGTTGATGGATTCAAAATTTCAAAAATAAAAGGATGGTTAGTTTGAAATCTATTCCTCAATCAAGAATCACCTCATTAATGAAAATGATGATTTAACAAAAAGAATAGAAGAGATTGAAGAAAGAATGAATCAAATAATTGATTTCATAAATTCAAATAATCATTAGTTTCTTAAAGTTCTATGTTGATTCTGAGACATGAATTTTTTAAAAGTTTATTTTTTATTCATGAAAATAATTATTTCTAATTTCTTTTACTCTCTCGTACATACTAGATTGAAGAATTCGGAACTTTTACCATAATCTCCTAAATGTTTTCTTATCCCTAACGTGTGCCAGTTATTATATGAAACTGTATAAACTTTTCTTTATCTTTGCATCTTTCATCACTTCCAATATATTATATCTCAGTTTTGATTTAGCATTTTCATATTCATTAGCGTTTAATAATTCACAGTCTTCCTTTTTAAATTGATGTTTAAGATATTCAGGATTTAATACTCTACGTTTATATGCTCCTAACTTAGTTCTAAAGGTTTTTCTACAAAAATTTAGGAATTCCATCCTCTTTAATGTCATCAATGATTTCCATTCATTATTTTCAATTTCTTCTTCTCGTTTATGAGGTCTTTGATTATGACTCCATTGATTCCATGAAATTAAATATTCTTTATCATTATATTTATACCTCATTAGCTTATTTTGGCTTTCATATTCATTTAATAATTCACAATCTTCATTTTTAAATTGAAGTTTAACCCATTCAGGATTTAAACAATGTTTAATTAATCGCGGAATATCTGACATCATCTATATATAGCTTCTTTTATAAAAGATAAAAAAATAAATTATTTTAAAATTAATGTTAATTTTTTTAATGATTTATAAATAAATATATTTTAATGCATCGTCTATATATAGATGTAACAAAAAAAGTCACACAACCCGTCCTATCCTACTACTAACAGATGAAAAAATTTTTATATCAGTAATTGGTTTAACAACGTTTATTTTTTGTTGAACATTTTCACTTTCATTTATTTCTTCCTCCTCTGTTTCATTTATTTTTAAAATCGGTTTCATTTATCATTAAATAAAAATTAGAATATAAGTGATGAAACATTATTTTTTAATTAATATTAAATCAGAAATGGCGGCAGGATTCTTTAAAAAATTATGGGAAGGAATTAAGAAAGCTGCGGGTTGGGTTCATAAAAATATTATTAAACCCATTGCAAACTTTTTGGCACCAGTAGCGAAAACGGCAGGAACTATCATAGGTGGAGTATTAGGTACTAAAGCAGGTAATCCGGCGATGGGAGCACAAGCAGGTAACGCAGTTGGTGGAATTGCTGAAGGAATACTTAATAAAATAGGAGGTAGATAGTGGAAAAATAAATAAATATTATTTTTATCTTAGTATTGGTTGTAGTCTTTGATAAACTTTTTCTCCTTTATTTAAAACTTCTCTTATTGGGGCGGCTTTTGGCGTTATTGATTCAGCAACGTCACTAATTGCTTCTTTATTCTTAAATATCCAATTTGCCCCCTTCTTCAATGTTTCCCAAACTTTACTCGCTCCTCTTTTTACTCTATCCCAAAGTTTCTTAAATATACCTGCAGCCATAGTTGATTATTTCATTAAAATTAAAAATTCATTTTCATCTTTTAATTTTGATTTTTTATTTAATAATAAATGACGACTAACTATTTAGTGCCAAACACTAAACCGATTAATGGAAATGTGTTTCATTCATTCGAAAAGATAAATGAAATATTCGCAAAGAATGACGGTAGAAGATATTATAGATAACTTGAAAGTTCATGCTATGACTCTGATGCTCCATATTTTGATGATAAACAAACTCATTTAAGAATTACAAATCCAGCTCATGATGTGAACCAATTAGGTGACACATATATTAAACGCAAAGTTAAAGCAACTCTAGTTTCAAATAAAGCTTTCACATGTGATGCCGCTTTTAAATGCATGCGTTTATTCGTTGGTTACAAATCATCAAATCAAAGCTTTAAACAATTAGAAGTAGAAACCGAAAGAGGTGATGCCGGTTATCTTCAGATGGATTGCGCCCGTGAATCTTTCGCATTTGCAACATATAAACCAAAATCAGAAAGGAAAGTTAAAAAGTTTGTTCATTCGTTATATAATAATGTTCAAAAATATGATAACTCAGTATGTGGTAAATATATTGACCCTTCAGAAGTTTTCAAGAAAGCAAATGAAGAAGTTGATGTCACTTTTGATATGATTATTCCGGTAAATGATTTGTTAGCATTTCAGGCGTTCGATGATTATCCTAAATCATTTGGTGATATCATTCTTAAATATTATGTTTTCAGGGATACTTTAGTATTTTGTCAGGTTGACCCGTTAAGAGTTGCTGATTTACAAAATTACGTTTATGAAAAGATAACTGATGAAAATTATGAAAAGATTATGAATCATGTTTATAAATATGATCGCAAATTCCAACAAATCGGACTTCCTGCCAAATTAATTACAAGCTTAGCCGCTACATCTGCTGAGGCAACAGTTGATGACGTTATTATTTCATGCACAAAGATGGAAGTTTTAGAGGATAAATGCATTACACCAGGATACGGTTTAATTGAAGAATCAGTTAAAGCAATACCACGTTTATTCAGTAAGGAAGATCCATTCATGATTCCAGCTCAACATATTGACGTTCGTTCACTAAATGGAGGTTGCATCACTCCTGAAGGTATTAGCTCAGATTTCTCATACGCTCTTCATAATGTTACAGATGTTGTGTTAACATTTCCGAAGAATGCAATGCAAAGAACGGTTTTAGAAAATCCAATGCTTCGAGGTCTTCAGGTCACTATAGATTCCAGAAACTTCCCCGATCAAGCGATGACCACAGTGGGCGACATATTCTTTACACGTATGCTTCAAGCTTCTGATTTAGATGGAGTGAATGAATGCACAGAAGAATACGAGGACTCATTAACTAGACCACTGAATGCAGATGATGGCACGCCATTAGCTAGAACATGGAAAGACCAAACTTCATTCTTATGCACTATTCCAGTTCAACGTGATGGAGCGGGTATATTCTTTGATGGATTAGAAACTTTCAACTCACAAGTTACAGTACAAGTGAAAGCTTATCCAATCATTCAGGGTGAAAATGACACTTACTGTTCAAAGGTGACAAATCCTCCTCAGGTTTGGTTTACTAGGACTACATATTGGACATGGACACCGGATGAAGGTTTGAAATATCATCCAACAGGTACACCACCACAGTATAGAAGTTCATATGATGAAATATTGATGAATAGAAATGTTTAAAATTATAAATTTATTTTTGATTAAATGGATTTAAATTCATCCACCCCTTATGAAGAATTAGCAGGAGTATATAATACATACGTAGATGATATGATTAATGAAGCATTGAGTGATAATAGAAATGCTCTATCTAAGGAAAAATTAATGAAAATTCCATATTCTGAATGTTACTTAAATTCAATCACTGCAGCAATTGGTAAACAAAATAAAGGTAAAACATTAACGATATTAAAACAAATTATCATTATTGCTAACACTTCCCCCTATTCACATGTGTTAATTTATATCAACCGTTCAGGTTCACCTTCAGATGATACATTTGAATCTTTAAAGCATTTAATCAAAATTCCAATTATTTATTTATCACAAGAAGAAGCAGAAGATTATTTAAAAAACTTTTTAATGTATAAAGAATTATATAATACAATCAAGAAGCAAGGATTAGAGGATAAAATTATTGATAAACAACGGGATGAATTATTTGAAACACTTTCTATTTCACAACGAAACGTTTTTTAATTACAACATCCATTTTCACAACATACAGCCTTAGTGTGTGCTCCTGTTAATGCAGTCTTACCGATTGTTAAGCGAGTCATTGACCCGTTTTTAAGTTGTAAATTAATATTTTGACCATCAAATATCACTTTATCATTTATTATATCCAAATATTTTTTAGGTGTTAATTGCTTATTTTGTCTTAAACTAACACCCTTCATTTTTTGTGCAATCTTTTTAAAATCACTTCCATCAATTGAACCGTTGAATGATGTATAACACTTAGGACATAAAGCAACCATGTTATCACCTTGTTTCTCAATTGCTAAACCCAATAATTTTTTCTCATGTGCTTTTTCTTCAGCTTTATTCTTTAATTTAGGTTTAAATTTCTCATCAAAACAGAAGAAATCAAATGGTGCGAATTTGAAAATGTTTTTATCATAAAATTTTTTATCGGTAACAATCGCCTGAAATGCTTGAGTGTTAGGAAGACTTGGGTCGCCAGCAATAGCCCAATAAGATGAATCAGTATCACCTTCAATGAAATGAAAACGATTAAAATCCATGCATTTATACATAAAATCATAAATGAAAACTAAATACCAGTATTTTGCGTTATCTAAAGTGAAGAATGCCTCTTGTAAACATGTATCACATCTATAAAATCTATCTTTAAGCATCACTTGATATGTATCTTCACCTATTTCTCTTATGTTTTTAAACTTATTTGACATACATGCAACGCGTGCCTTCTGTGCATTCATTATTTTAGTCTTTGCGTAATTTTGTGTATTCATTGCATCGTAACCATATGATCCATTAAGTGAAATTTTGCAAAATAAACTTTTTCCTTTATTTCCTTCTAATTCAGCCTTTTGTCTTTCGTTCATAAATTTGTTCGCAAATTCATTAAAACAAGTGTTTTTAGTAAATGTTAAAATTGATTGAATATCATCAATGATAAAATGAAATCTGTCGATTAGATACCATAGATAATAAGAAGAAAATGGTTGATATTGGTTGTGTGTTGATGCTAACTGAGTTAATTTCCTCTGTTTCTGGTCAACTGGTAGATTGTTTGATTTCATGTAATTATACATAAAACTACCAATTGTTTTTTCATCTGTGATAATATCTAAGTTTCTTATTATCGGTAAAAAGTTTATGTAATCATTAATGTATTTTTCATCAATGTGACCCTTTACTTCAGCCACGAATAAAGTATTTTTCTTCTTAATTATTCCCACTGCTTTTGCTTTCTTTGTTGCTGTATCACAAATGATAACACCATTCAATCTTCCCGGCATATACATTTTATGGTCAGTATATTGAATGAAATCATGAGGATTAGATGAAAATGATGAAGGATATAATGAATTAAAGTCAACTCCAACGAAATGAGTCATAATATTGGTGGTGTCCTCATTTGATACAGTTTTAGTTTCTGGACTATATGAAAGTTTATTAATGTGCGTGATTCCTTTAAGATTTACTCTATGTTGAACATTTGATAAACCACCAGTAATTCCATTACGGAGAATGTGATAAGCTTCAACCGAATCTAAAGTCATTGGTAAATTATTTTTTAATGCGTAATTTCTTAAATTGATTCTTAAACGTTGAACATCTTCATCTTTATTTGATTTTACGACATTGCAATAACAACACATTAACTGACAATTTTCTTTGGTATGTGGTTTTTCATTATCGATTCTATCCAATGTTGGTTTATTTGCATATGTAAACGCTTTACCACACATTTTGCATTTAGATGAAAGGATTAAATCGTGATAGTATTGAAAATCATCCATTGAAACATTATTTTTAGTATCCCTTTCTGCTTTTTCATCTTGTTTCTTATATGATTCAATTTTATATTTCCAATACTTTTTCGTTAATTCAAAACTTGATTCTATCTTTTCCTCAGGATATTTTTCATTAGGATTAAAGTCTTTATATGCTAAAGCGTAACGAATCATTGAAGCATTCGATGATAAAGAAAGATTATGAAGCGTGTCAATTTTATAAACAAATGTTTCTTCAATAATTTTATCGATTGGGTCAATCATAATTTCAACATCTTTATTGCAATAATGAATAAAATATTCTAATCTATTCTTAAAGTTTTTAGCATCATTGAGATATATTTGATAATCACTATCTGATATAGTTTCTTGAGTTAATGCTGAATAAAATGAATCTTTCGTGAATGGTTCCTCTTTATATAATTCTTCTTCGTAATTTTCCCATGTGATGAATTGATAAGGGAAAAAGGATTTAACACGTGATTTATTGTTTCCGAAATCTTGAGTGAATTGGTCTAATGTCCCACCCGCTATATAATTTCTGATGTCAATAAATCTCAATTCATATGGAACGTTTGTTTTCTTTACAATGATTTGCTTAAATTGTGAAGATGAACCCAGCATTGATTTTATTTTCCATTTTGCAGTGTTTAAATCACGAAGAATTAAATTTAAATCAAACTTTCCCGAATTAAAACCTATGATATTCGCTTTATTGAATTCCTCATCTAGAAGTTCTTTAAATGCTTCCTTCTGTTTTTCATTTAATGTATGGGACAAAGTCCCCGCCGTTTGCGATTTCAATAATTCATTGTATTGACTCATATTTGATTCAACAACTAATGAACAGGTTGAAAATAAAAACTCAATCCAATCAGAAATAAAAGAATCACTCGAAGTTAAGCAAAAATTCCTCGTATATGTTTTATCATTTAATTTAACCATTGATGATACCATGAATGGTTTTAAGTAAGCGTTCAAAGTTGCACACTCAGAAAGTTGTAATTCTTCTTTAGTCTCTAATGTTTCGAAGTCAAAAGTAATATAATATCTTGTCGGTTGATAATATTCCTGCAAATTATGAGCTAATAACCACTGATATATCTTCTGTTTCGTAATATGTGGTGCATATGGTTGCTGTGTCTTTTGCAATTGAACGTCTTGAATTAATCTTCCATTATTTTCTTTACATTCCTCACAATGCTTTAAAAATCTTCTTTGGTTTTTCCTTTCTGGATCATCACGGATAGAATAAACTTCTTCTTTACAATATGGACAAACTTTATAGCCGGTGAGTGCTTCAACGTCTGTTATTCTGTCAGCGTGAAGTTTTCCACATGGACTCTGTGTTAATAAAATATTTACTGTTTCAAATTCTGGATCTATCATTATTGATTCCACTAATGGAAAGTCTACCTTATTTATGTCCACGTCTTCTGGTTGAGGATCACAATAATAGAAATCAATATTAACATTTAACATTCTCGCTAATCTCTCACTTTCTGATGAAATGTCAAACCCTTCATATGCATCTATTGCTTCATTTAAATAGCTTCTACGAGTTTTAGGATTAGCACCATCAGGAATGTTATAGAAGCGTTTAAATAACCTTCTACCTTCTGCTCTAATTTGATTATCATTCATTTTAGCTGTTCCGTTTTTGTTCATTTATGTAAGAATAAAAAATTAAAAAATAAATAAAAATAAAGTTTATTTTTTAAAGCCCATAAAATGAATTAAGAACACATAAATTTTTATCATCTGCGACGTGACGAATACATTTTAATTTACTCAAGAATGCATATCCTGACACATTAAATCTAATTTCTGTCTTATTTAATTTCACAACTTTGAAAAGGAATGTATGAATAGCTATAAAATGATGAGAAGATGTTTTATGGGTTGCTTCCATTTTTTCTGAAATAAATGAATAAATATAATGTTTATAAGTTTTCATATCTTTTATATTCTTAATAACGAATGGTATAGCCCTTTCAACTTCGTCTTCCTTCGGTGCTGTTCTTTCATATGAAACATTATTAGTATCTTCAACAATGAAACCACAATCACACAAAATTTTATAGGTTCCAATGGTTTCTTTTGATATTTTATCTAATAAATCAAAACTTTATCAACACCTGTGCATTTATTTAAATAATAATTTGTGTAAATATCATGATCTTCTTTCTTAATCGTATTAGTTGCATATGTCACGTTTTTAAGAGCTTTTTTGAATTTTTCGGAATCTAAAGGTGGTGAAAGTAAGATACAAGGGTATTCTTCATTATCAATAAATTGTAACTTATGTTTACGAATAAATTTAGTACCTTCTTCTGAAAGTGTTTCGTCTATTTCACCATCTAATAAATTTTGTGTTGATTCTGAGACATAATTTTTATATCTTTCTTCATGAGATTTCTGAACTGCTGATTCTGAAGCTGGGATATTCATTAAACCCTCTACTTCATTTTCATTATATTTTTCAACTTCTCTTAATTCCTTAATTTTTTCATCTATTTCATCTCTTATTTTTCAGTCTTTCAATTTCAATTTCATCGTATTCATCATCATCTTTAATCCGTTCTTCATAATATTCAGGGAAAACATCAGGTTCTTTAGGTTTTTCTTCTTCAGATGTGGGATATAAGAAATTTATAACATCATCTTTATTCATTTTTCCATCATAATCTAAATCATTTAATAACTCCGCGAATTTTTGACAATTTCTTAAATAATATTTATCAACTTCATAACACATCTCATCTAATATATCCTTTATTTCCTCGTTTGTGAATCCTAATTTTTTAACGTTGTTAGTTTTGACGCTCATTTCATACAAAATAAAAAAAATAAAATAATAAACATAACTAAGTTTTAATTTTTCGTAAGAAGTTTATTTTATTTTTATATATAAATCATTCTTAAGGTCAAACAGACTTCTTATTTTTATATGAATTCCTTCCTCTTTAATGTCATCAATGATTTCCATTTCATTATTTTCAATTTCTTCTTCTCGTTTATGAGGTCTTTGATTATGACTCCATTGATTCCATGAAATTAAATATTCTTTATCATTATATTTATACCTCATTAGCTTATTTTGGCTTTCATATTCATTTAATAATTCACAATCTTCATTTTTAAATTGAAGTTTAACCCATTCAGGATTTAAACAATGTTTAATTAATCGCGGAATATCTGACATCATCTATATATAGCTTCTTTTATAAAAGATAAAAAAATAAATTATTTTAAAATTAATGTTAATTTTTTTAATGATTTATAAATAAATATATTTTAATGCATCGTCTATATATAGATGTAACAAAAAAGTCACACAACCCGTCATATCCTACTACTACAATTTACATCATAAGAAGCGATAAGAGCTTCATGAAAAGCATCAATATTTCCAAATTACTACTTGGTCAAGTGATGTAGAACGCGATTCCGAAATACCCTGATTCAGTTCTGGACCTGAACATCATAAAACGAATTAAAATACCCATTAATTCACAGCGGTATCAATGAAGTTCGTCTATTTGATTTCAAAGACCATCTGCAGTGTATTTCTTCACAATTATAAGTTTATTTGTTTTAATATAGTATCACATATGAGATTATTTGAATATTTATATGAAAAATAAACTTAATATGATTAATTGATAGAAAATATGGATATTTATTCATTTTTTCAGGTTAATGAAACATTCAAGAAGAAATTTAACCGAAATTAACTTTTTTTCTTCTTTTTAGATCGTATCAAAACAAGTTCGAATAGAAATGGGTATTCTGCTTCACATTTACCTAATGAAAGAAGTTCAAGCCTGAGAATAAATGGATCTGCAGCCATTTCATCTGTATTAACTGCGCCATCAGATGCAGTACTGGCAGTTAAATCACTTCCAGTACAGTTTATAACTGTAATAAGTCCATTGTGTGCAAAAAATGTATATTGGACTTTGTTTTCTAAAAAAATACAATCTGAAACAGTAACATTTGGTGAATTATGATAAGTTGTAAGGAGACCACGAAAATAAGCATTTTGAAGACATGAGTTATTTTTGAATATTGGTTTTTTAACAAATGAATTAGGTGTTGATTCATGGAACATGCAAGCTTCGCTATAAATATGGTTATCATTAGAAATGAAACAACAAAATTTAACATCAACAGGATCATTTCCAAAATAATAACCTGCATAGTGACTACATTTTGTATTAGTATTGTTTGTAGAAATAAGAGTTTTATCTCCATAAGATTGATGTATACTATCATATCCAATTTTATCTGTATAATTATAATATTTAGTAGAATTTATAATGGAGAACGTATTTTCATCGTAGCAGCATTTAAAGAGAGAGCCTAAGACGACAAAATTTTTGTTATACTTTATTGGAATATCTATACATGGATGAGGCCAAATATGATCAGATTCGCAATTTAATATTTTTCCTGCGTTAACTTCTACAAAGGAAAATAGTCCTTTGCCAATAGTGGAGCATTTAAAAGCACAAAATCGGTCTTGTACGATGGAGCTGTTGCCCTTGAAGAAGATGCAGCCACCATCTCCTTTATTTTTAGTAATATTAGTAAACGTACATATCGAATGTAACAATTTAATATAATCAACACTGCAATTAATGATATTATCTGAAAAATTGATGAAATCTGAAGAAAGTAAAAAGAAATTTTTGTCAATAGATGGACTTGAGTTGTTTATAATGTTCGTATAGTGTTTTGCCGGCTTCCCGTAGTATTCTTCCCAGATCTCGTTTGGAAAACTAGCTTCATTGAAAGCTAGTTTTCCAAAGAGATTTTCAATGAAAAAAGGAACTTCCCTTATCAATAAATTGGATAATTAATATCTACATGTATATATGGTTTCTTTTATGCGGGTATTGTTGTAAACAGAAATTCATCAAAAGTGACACCTCAGAAAAGCTAAAATATTGAATTTTTGGAACTTTTGATAGAGCACGTTTTTAAATATTAATTAAAGTAAATGTATATTTTGTAAAGATTCTTTTTAATAAAAAAATAAAATTTTGAAGAAGAACACAAAATCTTCTGAAAAATAATATCACATAAACTCATATTATTTTCTAATAGGCAAAATCGCAACCGAATTTTTAAATCTAGATTTTGATGATAAATTGTGATTTTTAGCTTAAATCGCGATTTTTTTCTGTTCGCAATTTTTCAGAAGTTCGCGATTTTATAAAAAATCGAAATTTTTCTTTGCGATCGAGATTTAAAAATTCGGTTGCGATTTTGCCTAATATATAACTATTTTATATAAAAATCAAATTCAATGATCTTAAAAGCGAAGGATAAACCTCAAAATTTACGAATATAATGAGTGGGAATATAATGCTTATCTATCATAAAACCATATGAAATATCAATTTTTGCTTTACGCCTAATTTTTGACGACAATTAGCAAAAAATGTTAAATGTTAACACTCAGTCCATTTGAATATGAAAAATAAAATTGACTTTGATTAAATGTTTTTATTTATCATGCAATTCTTCTTGCGACCAAAGATTTGAATAAAATTTCAAAAAATAAGATAGCTTAAAAAATAATATACGGTAGTGTTTACTAATAGATGAATAGTATATAAATTCTATTAAAATGGATTTGATCCAAAAAAATATAAAATCAAAAATAATTGTTATAATTTAAATGAAGAAGTAATTTAAAACGATTTTATTTATGATCAAATTTTATATAGTTTAGATATGTTGGCCAAAAATTTTCGTGTTATTTTTTGTGTTTAAGCATAAATTATGTATTTACTTATGAAAAATAAGCATTTTATTTATTATCATAAAGATATACCATAACAATTGATACCTCTGACCTCTAAAAAAAATGTAAACATTATTGTTTATATACTATGTTTTTAGATTTACAGACTCTTCTGAGCTCTTCCCACATATAAACATGTGATAATAACACATACATACTCCCTTCATATTCTGATCTCATGACATATTACCCCAAAAACTATATTTATACAACACAGTTAGTATACATATCTTGGGTACGGCGGCACTGCGTTCCACCTTACCCAAGATAACGGTTTGACACTTTACAAAACTGTTAACGTATATTTTACAACACAAACACGAACACAAACTTAACCTTAAATATTTACAAAGCCGTCAACCACTTCACCTCACTAACGACTTCGCTAACGACTTCACTAATGTAAAAAATAAACGTTCTCACTTACAAAAGTATTGCAACTCCTCCCATTGCTGTGCTTCACATAACAGCTCATAATCTTCTGACTCACTTTCTTCTTCATATAGGTCAAAATCACTGTCAAAATAAATGTATGTAAGTTTTGACAAAGCTAATGAAACACGCTTACCGTTTGTATCTATTGCTTTTATATATCTCCCATTATGTTTGTTGTCGTAAACGCTCAAACTAACTTTACCCTTTCTCCCTCGTATCTGATAGAATGTATTTTCACGAGGAACGAAGAACAAATTCTTGAACTCATGATCGTTGTAGTTTGTTATCTCAATAGTTTTCGTCATTACATCCAAATAAAAATTTTCAGTAAAAATAAAACTAATGAAATATTTTATTCCTCACTGTCGTCTGCTTTCTCCAACTCTTCTAGCTTCTTCTTAAGTTCAGCAATGTTGTCCTCATGAAGTTTAATCTTTCTCAAAATTCCTTCTCTATCTAATGGTTGCTTTATCTTTCTAAACTGAACTCTACCATCCTTCATAGTATGAATGTAAAAACCTTCTGGAATAGTTCCTGATTTAATGTATTCTACCAAAAACTTTTGTTTCATTGCTTCAGTGACTTTATTTGTCATTTCAATCAAATAAAAATTTTAATATTAAATAAAAATAACGTTATTTTTCAGTAAGGAAACGCAGGAGTTTTACGATTTATTTGAGGAGTAGGTTCTGGTTTAAATGTTGGAGTCGGTTTAGGAGTTGACTTTTGAACAGGAGTTTGTACTTCCATAGGTTCAGGAGTCATTGAAGGTGTTGTTTGTGAAGGTGTTGGTTTTGACGTTGGTTTTGGCGAAGGTGTCGGAGTTTGTTTAACTTCAGCTACTTCAGTATTATTTACAACATTTGCTTTATTTCTTTTCAACATCATAACTGCTCCTGCTGTAGCTAGCAAACCTAGTGGGAGACCATATCTTATATAAGGACTTGACCAAATGCTATTTTTGACAGGAGCTGGTGGAACACCTAACCTTGGTGAGACTGCTCTTTGCCATTGTGCAGCTCGTAAGAAATATTCAATAGGTGCTCCATAATCGTTTGGTAAAGTTTGTTTCATAGATGGTGAAGGTTCCCGAGAGCTTGATGAAGAACTCATTTATAAGCTTTAAAAATAAACGTTCATCCTTTATTCCTCACTGTCGTCCGCGGCTAAGTTATAGTCATCTAATCTTATTATGGGGATGCCTGACTGTCTTACCTGAATGGCAAAGCAACAATCCCTCATAAATCCAATAAGTGGCTTTGGTACATTTTCAGTTGCTAGTTCAATAGGTCCTTTAACAGACAATTTGTATGTTATTGGAGCAGTAGATGTTTGACCTTGCTGGAAGCAAAAGTCCACTTCTGTTGGAAAACCACATAAGAAATGTGTGTTGTCATAGCTATCCCATTTATGTTCCACACTACCATCATCCACCAATGACCTCATAACATCTTCATTAAATCCAATCATATCATTGTTTGTATTGCAAGCGTTCGCAACCATTTCATAAAATACAGGTCCATATGATTTTTCAGGTTCTGCAGGCATATTTCCATAAGCTCCCATGGAAAGCTGAAGATATTTAAACTTAGGGTTCTCAAAATTAACATAATAGTTGTCTTTCTTTCTAAATAGTGCCCAAATACTTTTAACATTAATAGGCGTATAAGCTGCTGTAAATGTTGCACTTGAACTATCTGTATTCTTTGAGAATGAACCGTCCATAGGAATCCAATCCATAACTTTAACAGGAAAACATAAAGCCTCGTTTGTATAATGTTCTACAAGTTCTGTATAAATGTTAGGGTCTAAAGAGAATGACTTTGGATGAATGAAACATTCATTAAAATCCATCTTTGTTCGAAATAGTTGCTGGGTTACAGTTGTAATAGTAACTGTTCCACTAGCTTCTACTGCCTTCGTTATCATAGTGAATGGTTCATTCCATGGAACAAATTTATTTGTCGGTGGATTTGAATCTGAAGCAAATGCAACTTTAAGAGTTGGATTGAAAGCAATGATATCATTTACAGATATAGATGTGCATTGTAAGGCGTCGCTACTGAACTTTACTTTAAGCTGAATGTTTCCTGCAAAAGCTGGAATAAATCGAATAGCTTCTAATGGAAGGAATCTTCTAACAGGAATTCTTAAACGAAGCTTAAAATCAAATGATTTTCCTGCTGTAATTGGACCACTAACAATTTGTCCTGTTCTGCATGTTCCCGAATGACTCCATACATCTTCATGTCGAGTCTTTGAGAAAACATCTACTTTCTTTATTTGTTCGGTAGTTTGTGAGTTTGAAGTTATATATGCTTCTTCTCTTGCGTTGTCTTGAGAATATACGATACGACCATCTGCAAGGATTTGATATCCAGCAACTGCATAGAAAGCGTCATCGAAACCAATCCAAAATCCTGGTGGGTTTGTTCTATCGGAACCTGAACCAATTTCTTTATCTACAATAAATTGACCTTCCATTTTATACGTAATGAATGTATTGTAAAGGTCCAACATATTTTCACCAGGAGGTGAGAGATTGAATGTTACCCATGTGTTATCTTTAGCAGTTCCAGGTTGTGATGGAATCTTTGCGTCAGAATATTTTCTATTAGTGTCACCAATTTGAACTGCATTGTCTATGATATCGAAATATGAGCGAATCTGATGAATATGCTCTGCTGGAGTAAATTCGTTTAACTGTTCGTTCTGCATGTATTTACTTCAGATAAAAATATCTATTTACTTCATTATTCTCACTCTTCTTCTTGGCATTCGTGGTGGAAGTTGTTTCTTGACATTTTCAATGAACTGTACATTCTCTTTTGTCTCAACTTCTTTCACTGGCGGGTCAGGATTCT